GTCAGAGAGAGACACAGCGAGAGAGGGAACACAAGCAGGGGGAGTGGGAGAGGGAGAAGCAGGCTTCCCGCCGAGCAGGGAGCCCGATGCGGGGCTCGATGCGGGGCTCGATCCCAGGAGCCCGGGATCATGACCTGAGCTGAAGGCAGACGCTTAACGACTGAGCCACCCAGGCGCCCCAATAGTAGCTGCTCTTCTTTACTGAACACCTTTGATGACTGCACTTTATATTCATTACCTTCTTGCTTATTTACACGTGAGGTACGTGGTAGCATTCTCCTTTTACAGAGAGGACATTGGCACTTCGTGACGTTGAGTCACCTGCTCAAAGCACACAGCTGCTAAGTGACAGAGGCAGGATTCGAACCCAGAGGACACTCAAAGCGGCAACACGCCGCACACGTGTTGTTGGACATTGGAGAACGACCGTGAGGGAAGTTCCCCGAGCCATGGGCTGGTCGTCCTCCAGGGGGTCCTTCTGAAGTCTCTCCAGGGTTTACATTGGATGCAGGGGGCTGTGGGCTTGGATCTCCCTCCATTAAGGCTCAGAGTTGTGTCCTGAGTCATGCTAAACACCAGATATGGATCCCATTGCTATGGGGGGGGCAGTGGGGGGGAGGTGGTAAAACTCGGCTTGTGGGTCCACAATTGGTCTGCCAGGAAAACCCATTTGGGGGATCCCAAGTACTCTGACTGGCTGTCGACCCTGGTCACATTAAAAGGACCACTGCCTGGTCTCTCCTTTACCCTGTGTCACCTTCACGGGGACACCGGCTCTGCCCCAGCGGCAGGAAAGATAGCTGTCATGACACTGAGCAACAACCAACAATGAGAACAGGTATCGGGCTGCACGTCCAAATCTATCCCGGGTACTTCCTGGCTCCTGTGACCTTGGGCAAGTCACCCAAGCTTTTCAAGCCTCTGTGTCCCCATCTTTTAGACGCAGACCATCATAAAGCAGAAGTCCCTCTGTTGTGTTTCTGTAATTACTGAAAGCATAGACCGTGGAGGCAGACTGCCTGGGTTCAAACCCAGACTCCATTCCTTCCTACCTGTGTGGCCTAAGGCAAGTTACTTAACCTCTCTGGTAAAATGCTGCTATTAACAACACTCATCTCTGTTAAACTGTGGGGTTGAGGAGTACGTACTTTTTAAAGCTTCCGGAATAATCCCTAACACACAGCACAACGAAGAATCTCTAACACTTTTAAGGAACTTCCCATGCCCCCTGGGGCCACCCTGATGCCCCCCCACCCCGCCCCCGCTCCCCAGTGCTGCTCAGGGCAGACATCAAGATGCCAGTGCAGAGCACAGGAGAGCTGAAGGCCCTGGATGGGAAGCCTACCTTCAAACAGCGGGGCAAGCGCAAGAGGGGATTCACACCGAACTTCAGGTAGAGCAAGTCCAAGGGCAGGAGGCAGAGCATGTCCATCTGAAATCCCAGTGGGACACCGCAATGTATAAAACAGGCCGCCCCAGGGAGTTGGGAGGTAAGGGGAGTGACAGGGTCTCTACCTTCCCTGGAAGGGTGAGGTCAGAATGCCCCAGCAGCGGGCAGAGAGCATTTTACCCACAAGCCTCCGTTTGCCTACCCAGTGTCATTCTGGGGGGAATCACATCGCACCGGCCCCAAAGCACCCAGGGCCCCCAGCAACACCACCTTCCAAGCCCCGGCGGAAGCTTGCCCCCTTGGCACACACCTTTTTTTTTTTTTTCCCCTTGGCACACACCTTAAAGCGCTGAGATTTCAGGTAGTTATCGCGCATCTCCTTCTTGTCCATCTGAAAGAAATGGAATACTGACCATGAAACGGCCTGAGAGCTTAATCCCTGACCCCGTGGGAGCAGCATGGACATCCCTGCCGAGTTTCCACCTTCCTATCAGAGTAACAGCCCCGGGGACCAGCGGAGCTTTGGGGAAAGAAAGACTCAGGGTCTGCAGGCAGTGAGGCTGGACCTCTGGGAGAGGAGGCTGGACCTCCTGGGGGAGGGGGGGAGTTGTCCAAGGTCATCTGGCTAGATTCCGGTTTCCTAGCTGGAAAGTCAATATTAGGCTCATTCTCTTAGCACGTGGGTCTTACCTGGACCATTTGCAACCTGGCTTACTGAGGAACCGCCTCCTGCTCTGATCAGGCTGGGGAAAGAGGCTGCCCAGGGAACTCTTTTTCCTTTAAATTGTTTAAGAGACACAACCCCAGCCCTCCTGCACACAGAGGAGCAGGCCCCACCAGCGTGGCATTTTGGAAAGTGACCTGCACAGAGAGATAGGGACTGGGCCCTCTGCCTTCGCCAAGTCAAAATCCGGACTCAGTTTCCTCCCTGGGAAGTGGGGCCTGCACCAGGGCACAGGGTCCGATGCCGGTCCAAGCAGCGTGCTCTTTGCAGGACCCCCTGCCCCAGGAAATGCTGTTCGCCCGCAGCTCCCGTGCTGACCGCTCTGTGGACACCATCTCAATCCACCCTCACTGCAACGCTATGAGGTGGGAACAATGACTTCCCCCATTTTACAGATGAGAAAACTAAGGCTCGGGGGGGGGCTGCAGCTAGTGGTGGTAGAGCTGGGATTTGAACCAGGTCCACCTCAGGGTCGTTCTCTGGTCCTCTTTCCATCTTTAATTCTGTCAGGTCCTGCAGGAGCCATTTGACCCATGAGCAATATTCATGGGTGTAATTTGAACAAGGACGGGCACACCTGCCCGAGATCTTGTTCCCTTGTCTTGTCTATCAGAGCAGCAGCTGGGGTCAGACTCCCGAAGGCCCTGCTGCAGGGCCTGCCCCCCCGGCCCCGCCACCTGCCCGGGACTCACAACAATGTCTCCCCCTCTGACAAACTGCAGGCGAGGCTGGAACACGGTGATGTCCAGGAGGTAGATGAGGTCACACAGATAGTCCATCAGCAGCCAGAGGAGGATGTTGTCTGGCGTCTGGTAGGGGAAGGCCCAGCGCACAGGAATCAGCCAGCAGTTCCAGTTCCAGGCCAGCACCACGAAGAACAGCCACAGGATGTACATCAGGTCTGCGGGGGGGAGCGAAGGGGCAGGAACGCGCTAGAACGGCCGTTGGAGGAGGGCTCCTCTCAGGAGCATCAGGGTAGGGCTTCCTTCTTTCCGCTCGTCTCTTCCTAGATGTGGCACTTCTGTAACGGAGGTATGTGTGTGCCTGTGTGTGCGTGTGCCTGTGTGTGCACATGTGTGTGCATGTGTGCATGCATGTGTGTGCACGTATGTGTGCGTGTGCATGTATGCGTGTGCGCGTGCGTGTGCATGTATGTGTGTGTGCGCGTGTGTGTGCTTGTCTGTATGTGTGTGCCTGTGTGTGCGTGTCCACGTGTGCATGTGCTTGTGTGTGCATGTGCCTGTGTGTGTATGTGTGCCTGTGTGTGCGTGTGCCTGTGTGTGCGCACGCGTGTGTGCCTGTGTGTGTGTGCGCGTGTGTGCTTGTCTGTATGTGTGTGCCTGTGTGTGCGTGTCCACGTGTGCATGTGCCTGTGTGTGCATGTGCCTGTGTGTGCATGTGCCTGTGAGTGTGCGTGTGCTCGTGCGTGTGTGTGTGCACTTGTGTGTGCCTGTGTGTGTGTAAAACTATCTCTGATATAAAAACAAATCCCTGCCAGGCCCTAATAAACCAGAGTCCTCAGCAGGGGGCACGATGGGGGCATTATTAGATAATAGGCAGCTAACTAGAAAACACTTTTGCTCTCATTCTTATTGAAATAGTTCCAACAATGTCTTTCCTGCTTTAGTAAATACGCAATAGTAAATAACGCATAGAACATGGACACACAGACGGGTGGAGGGATGGATGGGTGGATGTCGTGGGTCACGTGGTCATTTCAGAGGCCCAGTGGACACCAGGGTTGGTGTCCTGTCCCCCCAGGACTTGTGTGACCACAGGAAGGTCTCTCTCTGGCGCCTACCCTGCCTCCCTGGGGAAGGCACAGGAGAGGTCAGCTAAGAAAGGCTGGGAGGTTCTTCGTCAACTGTAAAGTGCCGTGCCCATAGGACGGGTTGTCGTTCCCGAGGAATAGAACGTGTGGGGGGAATTCACTTTAGATGTCACAAGAATTTCTGCCCTTTTCTGCTCAGAGCAGCAGCTCCAGGAAGGGGCCGTCAAGAGCAGAGTAGAAGGCAGCCTTGGCCAAGAGACAGGGCTCCCGGGTCTGCCACTAACTAGTCGTGCCTCAGTTTCCTTGTCTGTAAGGTGGGGGTGATGGTAGGTTCCTAGCCGGGGGCTTTTGGTTTGTTCGCTCCTGACGTGCCCTTGCACTCGCCCCGCTTCTCCCGCTCGGTCTCCTGCCCTTGCAACAGTACGCGGCGGGGGCAAGGCCCGGGCCCACCCAGGACTCACTGGTCAGCGGGTCGATGCTCTGGGGAAACCGGTACGTCTTCCACGGGCGGCGCTTGAACTTGCAGCAGAGCATGTCGCAATAGTGCTCTTCCTCCGCCTGGCCCGGCGTGGCCGGCTTCACTGCCGGGGCCGGCTCTGGGGCTTTCTTGGCCGGGGCTGCGGGATGACACGGTGACCATCTGACCCAGCCCTGAGGCTCGGGCAGAGGCTACAGAGAGAGGCCAACCAACTACAGACTCTGCAGCTGGAGCCGAGGGGACCCTGGCGCCACCCTCAAAGCTGCAGTCAGCTCTGCATGCGGAAACCGGGGTGCTCTCCGCAGCAAACCCCACGGCACCCGGCTGGACACTCTTACCAGCTACTGGTCTGGAACTGCTTCTCAGGAGCTGCCCAGAATGAAGTGTTTCTGGGCAAGTTAGGTGTTTCCAAAAGTCTGTTTGTGTGTCTGTGTTTGGACCCCCTTGGTTCTCTCGGGAGGGCTGGGGGCGTTTCCTACCCCAGACCCCTGCCACCGAGGGCCAGAAACCAGGGAAATCTTGCTCTGGGTTTCTCAGAGCAGGAACCTGAGCTCCTTCATCTCTGAAACAAGACACTGAAGGGGACCACAGCCGATCTGTGCATCAAAGGCGATGGTGTTGGTGACCTACAGATTGACTTTTGTAGGTTCAATACGGTTGTGTTTCTAGCTTGAGGACTGTGGATCCAGACCCTGCTAGGTCCATTGTTGGCGCCCTGGACTCTGAGGCACAGTCCTCCTCTGAAAACCCTCCCTGGCAGGAGAGCACTTCTCTCATTTCCTCTTGGAATCTTGAAAGCAGGAAACTGTCAGGTAGCCCCATGAGACTATGGCAAATGAGGGCTCCGAAAAATAAGACTAAAAAAAAAGTGGGGTGTGGACGCCATCTGTGTGTAAGGCCATGAGATGCCTCCCAGGCTGGACCACCTGCCTGCTAGTGGGAAAGGGCCAGAAGGGTCGAGGAGGGTACGTGCCCTATGGGAGCGGGAGCCAAGTAAGATCGGATCATCAGCCAGAACTTTGACCTTATTCCCTTCCCTGGTTCCATAGCTAAACCTGTACATACAGGACCCAAAAATCCAGACAGTGGGGATCTGGGCTTTTCCCAAGCACCCCAACCATTTCCTTGAGGGTACCCTCACCATGAGTTTATAAGGGGCTTTAGGGGACCCATTTCAGGTGGGGTGAATCATCCCAGCTCTGAACTCACAGGGCTTAGGGCTCTCCTCATCGGAGGTGACGTCAGGGTCGATGAGCTTCTCCTTCACCTTCTCTGTCCGTTCCTTGAAAAGCTTCACCAGCTCCTGGAGCCGGTTGTTGATGATGGTGCTGTTCTGGCTGGCCACGGACACTGCACGGTTTTGGCCACTGTGGACACACCACCCGGCGCTGAGGGGGGCTGGATGGGACGGGACCCCTGTGCCCCCCGGGCCAGAACCGAACAGCATCCATATCCCACCCGGCCCGAAGGAGGCAAAAGCTGCCCCAGTTTCCTTTGGACACCAGAAACATCAAACCCACTTTAATAGCTCCTAGGAGGAAATTCAGTCTGGGGCTCACACCTGGGGGCCCAGCTTTTAGAAAATGTACCACGCAGGATCTGATTCAGATAGGCAGTTCTGAGAAAACTTTGATCCCACTTGCGATTTAGGGGGAAACTCTTGGAACTCAGGTCAGGACTGTTAGCCCCAGTTTGGGGTTCCCATGAGATCCGTGTCTGGGACAGATCAAAGAGCAGACAGGGCTACGCTTCTGGCTCAGGAAATAGCTGATGGAAAAAAATAGTGCAGATACATTCTATATCCTTTTAAATTATAGGAATTTAAACCGTATGCACTCGCAGCGAGAGAGACAGATGGACAGAGAGACGGACAGAGAGAGAGAATGAATGTGAGTCTGCCCGGCGCTCCACTCATAGGGCAAGTGCCCTGGGGGGGCTGGGACAGGCTGTCCTCTGAGCAGCATCACTCTGACCACTGTGCTGAGCTGAGGGCATAGTAGTGTTTTCACATCTGTTTGTTTTCAGACACGGGGGCACCGGAACTCAAGCCAGCTACTCCCCTGGTGCTCACTTGACGAAGTGGGCTGGAGACAAGCAGTATGGGGGTCCCAACAAGAAAGGGCACACAGATATGGTGGAGACGCTAGCTGCTTACCCACATCTGCTCCCTCCCATGGGGAGTGGCTGCTGGGATTCAGACACCCAGCGAGGGTGGCCGGGTGGGCTCCCAGCAGGGGAACATGAGTGGACTTGCTACATGCATCTCTGGGCCCCTTGTCTGGCATTCTCCCCTTCTAGGGGTGACCAGCAGGGGCTTGGAAGCCACACAAAGGTGGCAGAGCTGCTGTCCGCAGGGTCCCTAAGTGACTGCATAGAGCAGAACCCTCCACTGACCTGAAACAGTGACATGATTGTGATACATGAGACATCTTGTTGCTTAAGCCACTGAATCTGTGGGGTCTATTTGTTACAGCAGCTGAGCCTACCTCGCTAATGCATGGACCCCCACGCTGAACTCCTTAAGAGGCTTCAAGGGTAATTTTTATTATTATAACTGATTTCTGCCTTGTTTTCTGATACTAAACTCTGACCCTATCCCTACCCTGGGTAGGGGATAAGATGGGATTCCACTATATAGTCAAATGGACCAATGAACTAGGGGTGAGGTTTGGATTTTTTTCTTTCTCCTTCAACTTTTCTGGACTTTCCACAACTCTGTAAAACAAACTCCATAAAATTATGGGTAGGGGGGAAAAAAGGCTGGAAGGAAAGCCCAGTGCCTCCTGTGACCACTCCAGGAGCTGAGGCTGAGAATAGGATGAGGATCCCAGGCCAGAGCCTGGGGCCAGGGAGTCACCATCAACCAAACATCTCAGACTCTTCTGGAAAACATCTTCCATTGGCCCAGCCCTTGGAATAGTTAGATGTCAGAGCTCCAGGTCCCAATGCCTTCACTGTGGCCTCTAAACATTGTCCCACAGACCAGTTGCATCAGAACCAGCCAGAGGCTTGTAAAGATGTGAATCCCCCAGGGCCCACCGTCTGAAGTCCTGATCTAGCGGGTCTGGGCTGGCAGATGGGAATCTGTATTTTTAACAGGCTCCCTGGGTTCAGACCCCTGGTGATCCTTGTTTTCCTCACTCCCCCTGCTGACCCTCTCAGGGGTTTAGAGCCAGGAGCCAACCTCTGCCTATGGGCCAGGAGCCTCTCCTTTACAACAAAGCCTCTGTGCATTCTGCAGACTGTACAGAACTCCTAGGCCAGCCAGAAGCAGCCTGGACAGGAGACCCAGCCCTGTCTTAATGCTCAGAGGCTGCTGGCAAAGTTGTGGCGGAGGGTTCTAGAAACGTCCATGCTCTCCCCCTCAACCCCAACCCCCTCCCCTTGCCTGCTCATCCCCACCCAGACTTCCAACTCTCTGAGACCCCGGAGGTGGTCCCCACTCACTCAGCGCCCTGTGGGCTGGCCGGGTCCAACCAGGGGACCATGGGGGACTCAGTCGGTGACAGTGCCTTGAGCTCTTCAGCCTCATCATCTTGGGAGGGCAGCCTCTTCCTGCAAGGACACAGACATGGAGGGACCTTCAGCGAGGGCAGAGGCCACAGGGGGAAGTGAGCCGACCTTGACCCCTGCAGATCACTCAGAGCTGAACCCTGGGGGTGGGGAATGGGACAGGGGGTGTTGGTGCTGCAAAGGGTCCTCACTTGCCTGCAGGGAGACAAAAAGGGAGAAGAGAGGGACACAGCCGCTCTCTGGACCTCAGTCTCCACATCTGTTCAATGGCCTAGTGTAAAAGTAACAACACTGACTTGGTATCAGGCAAACCGGAGTTTGCATCCCAGTCCTACTTCCTACTAGTGTATGATCTTGGCAAGTGACTTAAACTCTCTGAGCCACCTCAGTCTTCCCGTCTGTAAAATGGAACTAGATTTACTCAACTCAATGAGATACTCAGGACTCAGTGGGGCCTCAGCTTAAATGTTCTGCTTTCCCCTCCCAGTCCCCAGCACACCCCTCCAGGCTCCCTATCTGAGGAAGGAAGACCAAATCCTCCCCAGGCTCCCCTGTCATTCAGTGCATGTCTGCCCCAGGGCTGTGTGTTTGGAGCCATTGGAGTCCTGGCTGATGATGTCTGGGTGGGAATCCACTTGTCATTCTTCCCATCCTCAACCATCGCAACTCAGGATCCCAGAGGCTTCTAGAAGGATACAGATGGAGGGATGTGTAGCCTTTATTCCAGAAGGCTCTGAAACTATCCTATGACCTCCTGCCTGCTCGCTGAGGATGGCAACACTCGCAGATTCACCTCCTTCACACTCTAATTAAAATTCCCACCGTGAACACGGAGACCAGAATCTGCACAGGTGGAGGACCCAACTCAGTCCTCTTGCGCCCAGCCTGGTGCCCTCTCCTGAGTCGGGTGCCATCTCCTGCCCAAGACACCAGAATGTGGAACTCCATCAGCAGCTAGACTCCTGCAGCCCTGCCTCGCGTGCAGCCCTGTGCTGAGCACCTTGCACGAATTAGCTCATTGAATTCTTCTAGCAGTCTAGTAACAGGTGGTGTGTCTATCCCCATCTTACAGTAGGAACATGGAGGACTAGGAGTGTTCATTGGCTTGCCTCGAGCCTCACATCGGTAAGTGGTGAGCTGGGATTCACCCCAAACCAAGGCTTTAAGCTTTTTAAGGTTTAAGCAAACCTAGCCCATGTGCCCCTCTGTCAGGGTCTGTGGTTTCCATGGCTTTTTGGTGCCTATCAGTTGCTCACAATGCTCATTCCATCCCTGACCATAGGCAGCCCCATTGGCTTCCCAAGTCAGGTATCAGAATTCTCCCCTCTCAGGGCCAAGGAGGCTCAGGTAGAGGTTCCCCTGGTTTCTCAAAGTCATGTTCAACTTAGAGCTCTCTGGGACAGTCTTGTTTGTTTATTTAATTCCTTGTTCATTGTCTGCCTCAGCCCCATGAGAACATCAGCTCCATGAGAGTAGGCCCCTGTCAGACTTCTCCTTGATGTATCCCCAGCACCCAGAGCAGAGTCTGACACATAAAGTTGTTCAAGAAATGTTTGTGAATGAATGAATGAGTGAATGAGTCAGTGAGTGAATGAATGATAAGGACAAGAGGAGCCTTGCCCATAAACAGAAGGCAGAGGGCTTGGATTCTATCCCCAAGGGAGCCTACTCCCCCTCTCTGTGCCCAGATATCCACCCCCAACCCAGCCTGTATAAAGAGAACAGAGAGAGGTAGACCAGATGTCTGCAACAATATTGGCTCCGTTTTTTCTGCTGTGTTCTGCATGGTTCAATGAATGAAACAAGAGGATTGATGGAATAGTGAGCTATGTTGCAAGGCTAGATGAGATTATGACTCTTTTCTTCACATTAAAATCAGAGAGCCTTCAGTTGGCCACATCTAGCTATCTCTGTTACAATAGCCTTTTTAGGCTGAGAAAGTCCTCAAGGACACATGGATGAAAGCAAAGATTAATCAAGAAAAAGGAACTATCTCCTAATCCAACCACCTCAGGAGAAGCACTGGCAGGTCCCCTGCAGCTTAAATGCAGTCATTCACAAAGCAATGCACCACACTTCACAGTTTGCCTACAGCTGTATGCAAGACCTCTCTGTTACCTGGCTCAGGTTGTTCAAAACCAACTCTAATCATGCAACAAATTTATATCAAGAAGCATAAAAATGTGCACAACCTTGACCAGGATTCCCACTTTTGAGAAAGGAGCCCAAGGACAGAGAGAAGCCCAAAGAGATGTCCATAGCTCCATTATGGACAGTGCCCAAAAAGAAAGTATTTGTTAAGTTCATTCTGGCACATGGAGCTGGAGGATGTGGTCTCAAATGAAATGTCAGATGTGGTCTCAAATGAAATGTGATCCAAATCACCCCTCCAGTTAAAACCACACAAAAGCATGGGCCCATAGACAAGGTGTATAAGAGAAGGCAGTAAAATGAAATCACTACCTAGTGTGCTGGGAAAAGGGATGCTTATTTTTCTAGTGTTTTTTGGTATCTCCATTCCATTATTTTAATAATAAAACAAGGGGGTGGAAATTAGCCTTTTCACATTTACTACCCCCTCCTATCCTATAGTTGAGGGTACTTGGGAGAGGACTTCCTTGGAGAACTCTTTATAGAGTCCTAAACCAGAGTTGAGGACCAGGAAGTGGGGCCATAGTCCCAGATCTGACTGACACCAGGTCGCTGAGTGACCTTGGGCCAGCTGCTTTCCCACTCTGGCCTCAGGCTCCCCTTCGGGCAAATGGACAGATGGCACGGTACTGTGAAAAGCCCAAGAGAAGCATAAAAGGTGACCTTTCAGTCTCTGCGGCAGATCCCAGGACCGCAAAGGTGTCGGATTTGGCAGGAGAAGGTGGTGGCAGCTCGGGTGAGGGTGGATTCTCCACGATGGGGGGGTGGCTGTCCACATCAGCATCTTCCACCTGCACTTCCGGATGCTCTTTTGTAGCAGGCACTTGGAGAGAGGAAGGAGAGGACAGTCAGAGAGAGAGAGAGAGAGAAGCCGGGTCCCAAGGGCCTTGCTCCGTTCTTGATAAAGCCACAGAAAGCATGTCTGGAGGGGCCTCTGGCAGCCCCACCTCCCAGTGGGCCCCACGGGAGAGCTCCATGCAGGGGGTGCAAGAATGCAGAGCCCGGGGGCCTCTGAGGGCCTCGGCTGCCCCAGACCCCAGCCCAAGGGCTGCAAAAGAAGCCATCACACCACTGAGGCCACGGAAGCTCCTGAGCACAGCCTGGAGTCCAGCTTGCCCAAGCTCTGGTCTCCCCAGGCCTAGTGAAGCCTCAAGGACCTGGGGTTTGATGGGAGTGGGGGCGGGGGGAGGCTGGGAGAGCGCAAGTCCGAGGGCCTGGCCTAGCACAGCCTCAGCTGCGTCCCCTCGCTGGGCCTCAGTTTCCCCATCCCAAGGCAGGGGTGACAAAGGCACACGGCCTCACACTCTTGAAGGGCCTCAAATGGAGACATTGGGCAGTTTCTTGCAACCAAGGATAACAGCCTGTCCTTGGAGTGTGTGTCACCCCTGTTTGGGAATCTGTTTGGGTGTCTCCTTATTTCTGGACCTGCTGGGAGCCCCTCAAATCCATCAACCCAACTCCTCTCCTGACCTCTGAGAAGCCTTGTGCCGGGTCCCACGTCCCAAGGACCAGGTCCTCCCTGGCCAGTCTGGGGTGGTCCTGCCTCAGGCTTCATCACCCACCCCAGGGGCTGTGGGGACAGGCCTGCCTGAGGCGACGCTCAGAGGATGCTGAGGGGCCGAGACAGGGCTCCCTCTCCCGGCCACACCGGGGTGGGACCACTCGCTAACAGCCGGGCCCAACGCACCCAAAATGAGGAGAGGGAGCATTCTGAAGCCCTCGGAGATGCGACTTTCTTTTTAAAGGGCCACCATGGGGAAAAAGCCAGCACTTCGCAAAATGTGGCAGAGGGAACCTAAGCAAGACCTTTGAGCATTTGTTGTACTAAGCCTTAAGCCCGCAGAGGAAGAGGATGAGCAGGAATGGAGAAGTTTCTAAACATTTAAGGAACAAGTGTTGCCAGACTAACAAGAGAGATACCCCCAGGCTGTGGAAAGCAGGAGAGAGCGTGAGGCACAGGGGCCCTCACCCTGCTTCCCCCGGCAGGGTGAGCTCAGCGCCCCAGACTGTCCCCAGTGTGGCCCCCGGAGCCTCCGTGAGGCCGTCTCGGGGAGGCTGCGAGGGGGCAGGTGCTCCCCCACCCTGCCTCACCCTGAGCAAGACTCTGCAACCTCCATCCCCCCAGGAAAGAAGGAAAACCCCTAAGCCTGGTGTTTCATTTCTATAGAATGAGAATAATATTATGAAAAATCGAATAACATGGCATGACTACATTGGCTGAGAGAAGAGTCATATTTACGTAGAGCACGTCCTATGTGCCTGCCTTCCATTCGTTTCACCAAACTCTTAGTGCTTTATATAGATTAAGTCGTCCCCCCTTCCCGGCCCTTCTAGAAGGCCGCTGTTATCACTGTCCCCATTTTGTGGATAAACTGAAGCACAGAAAGATGAAGGAACCGGCTGCAGAGCCAGGATTTGGACCCAGGCAGCCCAGCTCTAGCACTTAGCCTCTTCCTTCGTCCTGAGGTTGGTGACCGGCTCGCAAAGAGGCCTCCGTTTAAACAAAACCTCACTCGGGGCCAAGGAGCATCACTGAAATGGGATGGTGTTCTTCCTACATGCTGCCCTGCCTTATCCGCAGCATCTCACATCACCGGTCATACCACCGCGGCTGGATCAGCCCACCGTCCCAACGTGGCCGTGGGACTATTTCCCCAAGTGTGGGGCTCCTGGGGACCTGGGAGGACACAAGATGGCACAGATAAGGCAAAGGAAACGTGGGACGAGAACATTCCTCCCATTTCAATCCTCTCTAGATCCTGAATGCACAGAGACGAAGTCGCAGCCTGGTGCTCCCCGGGCCCTAACACGTCTCGGACACAGCCTAATTCCCCTTTGGGGCTAAGAGGGCAGGTCTCCGCTGGGAGCCTTCAGCAGGTCCTCACCCTTCGCTGAAACGATCAGCACAACTTCGTTTTCAGTTCATTTGCGGTTATCTCTATTCATGCCTTCTATTTATGGCAAGCGATGCTGGTTTCCCACTGGAATAGTATGGTAAAGCTTCCTGATTGAATAAACTTAATTAAATGTAAAAAATGAATCCACGGAAAGAAAAATGGCAAGCCAATAAAGGTAGAATTGGTATAGGATATAGCAAAACTTGAGAAGGGATCCGTGGGGGGTGGAAATTGGGGGATGCTTGGGAGTGAGTAGATGTAGGGCTTCCCAGAAGACCGGGCCTGGGGGTGTCCACCCTTGTGGTAGGGCCGATCACCCCCACTCTGTGCCTATTGCAAGCTGGGAAGAGAGGACAGCGGTGGATCTGTTCTCATGAAACGTTCAGTTCTGCCCGTCTACTGACTTCACGAGCACCCTTGCCCACTACCCCCCAAAATAAACGAATGAAATGGGAAAGCGAGTGGGTCTGGCTTGAGTTAAGGCAGATAGTGATAGGGGTTAGTCCAGAGCCACTCCGCTGTCCCCGAGTACTTTGTCATCAGGAAGCAAGCAGCAGGAACCCAAAGACTGTCACAGGGACCTTGTCACAACTAAATGGATCCAGACAGGCCCTCCTTCTTCACTGGCCCCTAAGGCTATCCCTCTTCCTGGTCTGCCTGCAGACACCTGGGGGCCTCTCCTTTCCTGAAATGGGATTTGCTGGGCAGATATCAACAATCCCCACAAAGTCCAGCTCCCAGAAAATCCTCAAGGTCTAGGATTCTGTCTGAAATGGGTCCCCACATTCCTCTTCTGCCCCATTCCCCTCAATTTATTCTCTTCCCCCCACCCAAGTCTCTTGGCCTAGTGATCTTAGTAATTTGTTTAAGCTAGGGTGTGATTGACTACCTGTAAAAAAAAAAAAAAAAAAAGATGATCTGCAGAATGCAATGTTTTACCCAAAGAAATTAATTGCTAATTGTGGGATTTTAGGCACAGAGATAAGGGGACTAATATCCCTTAAGTCACCACAAAGCAAGATGAAGGCATTGACCAACAGAGGAAGGGGGTTGGTTTTCCAGGAGTTCAACTGGTGGTCCCACACCTTGACCATGGCACCCATGCGAGGAGCAGCCTGAGCCATGCAGAAGTCCACACCACAGGCACAAGCATGTTGGGTGCACAAGATCACACTACCTAGGCGACGGATGGAACTTCTGGTCTCCTTGGCGAAGCTGGAGTTGGACAAGGCCGTCCTCCGGGAGATGAGGACAGGGATGCGGGTGATTGAGGGGCGGTAGCTGGGCACATTGGGGAGGTGCTCCGCCAGAGTTGGGGGAGCAAGCCCTGGGGTCACCTGGCCAGGTGGCTGGTCCTGGACCAGGCGATTCAGCTCCATGTCCTGGCCTGCTTGAGCCATGCCGCTGGGGCCAGTGGGGGTCAGGCAGATGTGGGATCCTGGGGACTGCAACCAGGAACAGAGGGTTGGGGGGAGGCAGGGGAGGTGGGCTCCTCCCCACTAGCACCAACTCGGACCAGCCTGGTGCCCGCCCGCACTTGCAGCAGCCGCACCCAAAGCCCAAACATCCTTCGTGTCCCTGGGGTCAACATCGAAAGCATTATCACGTCATGTTGGCTGGTCTACTCGGCAGCTCTGAGGGACAGCACCGGGCCCCCCAACTTCTTGTGCTTTCTCTGTTAACCAACCACCGGTGGCATATCCCACCTCAGACAGAAAAAGTTAGAATCAGGGATGCCTGGGTGGCTCAGTTGGTTTAGCATCTGCCTTCGGCTCAGGTCATGATCCCAGGGTCCTGGGATCAAGCCCCGCGTCGGGCTCCCTGCTCAGTGGGGAGTCTGCTTCTCCCTCTGCCTGCCACTCCCCCTGCTTGTGCGCTCTCTCTCTCTCTCTCTGACAAATAAATAAAAATCTTAAAAAAAAAAAGGTGCTTTTCAAAGACCAGGTGGGGAGCAAGGTTGGGACACCTGGGGTCAGGACACCTGCATCCAGTCCCGTGTCAGTCACTAGCTGGCTGGGACATGAGCATCATGGTCCCTATTATGGCCTCCTGCCTCAGTACCACGCGGTATATTGGGTACCTTTGACACACTGTCCCCTCCTACTCTGGCCCATGCCCTATGCGGCAGGCACGACTATTGCCCTGTCTTTCTGGATTTGGGAGGCACAATTAAGAGAGGTCACACGCCTGGCTCCAGGTCCCACAGGAAGGAGGAGGGAGGAACCAAGAGTGAAATGCAGGTCTGTGCCCTTGACCGCTCAGCCACATCCTGCCCACTTGGAGCCTCAGGTTTCTCAACTATAAAATGGTCTGCCTGCCTCAGAGGGTGGCTTGAGGAACATGGAGGCCCAAAAGGCCAGGGCTCCGTGTCTGTCTGGCTCAGGCTCCCCAGCCTGGCTATCCTCGGCTCCCCCAGCCTCTGCCGCACCAACCATGGAGTTCTCGGGTTTGGGGTTGGAGGTGGTAAATAATAGCAAAGTGTGTGTGCTGGGTACAGCGTGGGGATCTGGGCAGTAAGGAAAAGCTCATTACGACACGTGGGGTCTAGGATGGGCCCTTAGCAAGCTCGGGTTCCAATTTTCACTCAGAGATGCTACATTTCAGCCAAACCATCTCCAGATGGTAGTCCAGAGAGCTGCATTCCCAGAGAGGAGTGGCAGGAGGGGCTGACTGGGAGTGGGGTTTCCACAGGCCTAATGGAGTCCCAGGAGCCTCCCGTAATTCCCCTGGGGCCTTGAAATACATCACCAAGCTCTGATAATGTGGCCCCAAGATGCAGAGGTTGGGTTTCGCCCGAGGATGAGGCAGGTGTAGGGGTGTGGGGATGGTAGGGAGGAAGGGAGATGGGCTGAGTGCCCTTGTCCCCAGGCTGCCCCCAGCCTGAAAGTATCCTCAACGCTCTGTGCTCCCCCCACCACCACACACCTACCTTCTGGGCTGACAGTCACGGCCTCCTCCTGCAGCTCCTGCAGCTCCTGCAGCTCCTGCAGGTCCTGCAGCTCCTGCAGGTCCTGCAGGTCCTGCAGCTCCTGCAGCTCCTGCAGCTCCTGCAGGTCCTGCAGCTCCTGCAGCTCCTGCAGCTCCTGCAGCTCCTGCAGCTCCTGCAGCTCCTGCAGGTCCTGCAGCTCCTGCAGCTCCTGCAGCTCCTACAGACAGGAAGGTGGAAACAGAAGCTGGACCATCAAGGCTCCTCCTCGCCCCAGGCCAGCCCAGACCCTGTTGGGAGATCTGTCTTCAAGAGTCCTCCCAGGCCCCGATTCTACTCCTTGCCCTGCCTGACTGCTCAGGCCCTCCCCCCACCAACCTGCTGGGGCATCCAGGGAGGTGGCCCCCACCATGTAGAGGGGAGGACACCCAGGAGCCCAGCGCCCGGACTTGACACAGATAAAGGGGGTGTGTTCTCATGTAACTCTCCCCACCTGGGCGCTGTGCATAACTGTGTGGGACACCCTGGGGAGGGGTTTTCAGCCCCATTTTACAAAGGTGGCCACAGAGGCCCAGAGTGGGGAGGTGACTCTTCCAGGGCCACACAGCCACGTGAAGACTGGCCTGCAGGACAAGCTGCTCCACCCCGCAATGGCCCTGTCACCCCAGGCCCTCCCTGAGCCCACCTGACCCCTGGTATAAGCCAGGTCCTACAGTACCCACCACGCTACTCTCCTCTGTCCAGTGGGCATCTCGCCAGCTGAAAATCCCCCTGTAAACAAAGTACACAAAGCCTACCCAGGCCTCAGAGGTAGTCTGCTCATACCTGGGGCGAGGCCCTCTGCGGCTGGCTCCTGCCTACTTCGCTCAGGTCCTCGCCAGCCTGCGCCACCAGACAGCTATCCAGCAGGACACTGTGACCCCAAGGGGGAGGAGGAAAGGGCTAGCGTTAAGGGTGTTAGACATTTCCTGAGTCCCGTCTGCCGAGAGCCAGCCCATGGGTTGGGAGCTGGTGCACAAAGGTGGCCAAGAATAGGTCCTCACCCTCAGGAGGCTCCTTGCAGGGGCAGGCAGACCACAACTGTGTCTAGGAAGAAGGCCTGCCCAGAGGAGGTGGCCTCTGGGCGGGACCTCAGGGAAGATGAGTTGACCATGAGGCATTAGGTGAGGAATGGTGTCCAGGACAAGGGAACAGCATGTACAAAGGAAAGTGTGGTGGACGGTTCGAGGAACCGTCCTCTGGGGGGTAGGACCAAAAAGCACTGGATAGTGTTCAAAATGTACTCCCAGCATTTCCCCTCTGTGAGCCTCCAGGCGACGTTCGTGACACAGTCAGGGCAGGGAGTACAAGAAAAATGAGGCACAGAGAGGTGATCTGAGCTGGCCAAAGTCACACGGCAGATTGTCTGACACCACACAGATCTCGAATGCAGACCCTGGTTCTTTCCAGGCCACAAGATCAGAGCCACGCTTCGGCTGCTGAAGGTTTCAGGGGTCCCTGGCCCAGGCTGCAGACATACACGGGTGACAGGGACCAGAGGTACAGAGAGGACTATAGCCAATTAGAGAACGTGTACCCATCTGAGTCGGCAACCCCACTTGGCTTGGAAAAATCTGATTTTCAAGAGGAGCCTGAACTACATGTTTTAAAGGTGGAATCTCCAATCTTTAGATGCTGACAATTAATCCAAGTTAATAGACTCATAGCAATATGTAGATAATCAAAAGAGCCTGTCTATAGGTTAAATTGGGCCCTTCGATGCCCGTGTGCAGCCTCTGGGTTAAAATGGTGACTCAGAACCAGGGGCCAATGGGACTTATGTAGTTAGAATTGGATCCTGGGTCCTAGTGGCCCACCCCGCCCCACAGACCTCTGTCAGCGAGGCTCACGGAGGGTGCTCCACAGTGTCTACTGTCCAGAAAACCCGGATTCACCATCTCCTACCCAGAGGGCCAAGCTTCAGCCCTCCCAAGGTGGGTGAGGAGGTGGGGACAGAATTGCAGCCCTGGTCAGTGTGGAGCCAGTGGCCTGGGAGCAGGACTCGGTTGGTGATCACATGGTCACAGCAGGCCCCATCCTCACCTAAACCACCCTGAGAGCCTGGGGCTGCGGCCGGTCCCATTCCATCTCAGCGATCGAAGGCATAGATGGCCCGGCCACGGTCACACGGATGGCACAAGGCAAGCCTGGATAAAACACGGGTATCTCTGACCCCAAGGCCATGTCCACAATACTTGGCTTCCTGTCTCCAAGCATCTACACGGCCCCATGTGACACGGGGGAGTGAGGCAAGTGTCCTGAGGACCCGAGCACCCAACCCTCTTCATTTCCCTTCGTCATCACGTAGCTATTTCCATTGTAAGGGGCCTTAGCTGTCAGGGTCACAGTCCCCACCCTGCCCAGGAAGAAACAGATTTTCATAAAGAGATTCAAGTCACAAAAGCAAGGGCACATGATGACTTTCCAGGGGCCTGCGTGCTTTAGCCTCCGTGGGCCCCTTCGTCCTTAAAAATAAATATTAGATTTTGTGACTGCATTTATATAAGATTCAATAGTATATATATTCTCTTCCATCGAAAAGTTCATTTTGGGGTCTGACGTTAAAAGAAATTAAAATGTGCTTGAAGGCCCTTCCCGGTTCTCAAAGCACAAAGGCCCAGGGCATGAACATCTGCAGCCCCGTCTGGGGCTGCCCAGGGCCTTGCTCGTTCCAGAATCAGGCCACGACATCTCTGGATGGCCCTGAGCACGTCACTGGGAAGCCCTCGGGCTGTCTCTGTTTGCCCATCTGTCAAATGGGTGGGACTTGCTCAGCCTGTCCAGCCGGACTTATTTGAGGGAGGTCAGAAGGGCCGGTGAGAATCTCATGAAAAAGTCAAAAAAGACTTCCCATGTCTGGTGTCATTCTTGATCCTCCATCTCTCGACACTGAGAAGCAGTTCTCCTTGTGTGGGGCACCGAGGGTTTGCTTTACTCCCAGGTCCGCGCTTGCCGGCAGCGCAGCCCTGGATGTGCAGGGGACCGTGTCTGAGCCCCAGTTCTCTCGTCTGTGAAACGGGATGAATAACCGGTGCCCAGAGGCTGGCATGGACACTGAGGGCTACGCAAATGGCCACTGTTGTCATGATTGCTCTCATCATTATTATTACTCATAGTAGAAGAGGTAGCATCCTGCCGGGTTATGAATCACCCAAGTGGCTTGGGGAACATCTTGCACAAACATCTCCAGCTATCAAGACACCTAACGAGCCCTACCATGGCCCTGTCAGCAACACCAGGGGCTGCTTTGGGAGCTGCGTACCCAACGTCATGTTGCCCCTGGTCGGCAATGTGCCCAAGGCCCCGTCTTGCCCAGCCCAGAAGTTGCAGGCCAGCCACTTCTGGAAACCTCCCCAATTCCAGGGATTTCCAAGCGGAGGATCAGACGGATGGGCCGACGTGGGCATCCCGGAGGATCTCCCCAGCTGGCTATCCGAGTTAAAGGTGCAGGGAGTAGCCAAGAGTTGGCCATCCCGCTCCTTGTCCCCCAGGTCACCTAGCAGGCTACACCCCTAAGCTAAGGTCCTCAGCACGCTCCTCACCAGGCACCCCAACCCTGAAAGAAAGAAGGGGAGCCCTTAGGAAGAAGCAGCCACCTACTTGGGTCTCGCCGTCTTTGCCGACAAGAACGCCCATGATGCAAGAGGTCAGCTGGGGGCGGTGACATTCATCCCAAGCCCCGGGTCGGGTGCACACAGGGAGACAATTGGGAGAGCCCCAGCCCAGCCCCAAGGCTGCCAGGCCAGCTCTGGAGCCAGTGTGGCTCGGGTCACCGGTGAGCCACTGATCCTTCCTGCTTCTAATCAGATTGAGGGGATGTGCAGGGAACTCTGCAGAAATGTCCCCAGGGAGGCCAGGTGGGGACCAAAAGGCTGCGGTTGCTAGGAAAAGCCGAGCTGTTGCCGGCAGAGACCAGGTCGCTAGGCGACCGTCTGCCTGTTACCAGGGCCCGCGCACGTCATCAGTAACCCCAAGCCGGCCAAGAGCCTCCCCCCGGAGCCAGTGACAGCCCAGTCCACCTGCCCACGCCCGACGCCCTCTGGCCCCGGCCTGGGCATCTCTCACTCTCTTACCCGGGGCCCTCGTCCCGACCTAGGGCCCCGGGCCCAGAAGTTCCCTGAGTTTGAAACTCTGGATAAACATGTATGTGAATATGTGTGTGTCTGCAGCATTTGTAACTAAATACATGTGCCGTGTGCGTGAGCATGCGCGTAGGGGGTAGCGTGTGCACATGCAAGTGTGTATCAGCGTGCCTGTGTGTGCACGTGTGTGCACATGTGGATGCATGTGTGGTGTGTGCATGTGCATGTGTGCAGGCTGCGTGTGGGTGTAACTGTGTGCTGGTGTGTACGTATGGTGCAGATGCGTGTACCGTGCAGAGAACACGTGTGCAGGCGGTGCGTGTGCATGTGCGTGAGCACACTAACTCGCTGGCCTCCGAGGTGGAAAGCAGACGGCAGATGGGGCTGCACTAACAAGGCTGGGCCGCACCTAAGTCTTCACCCAGGAGAAGGGGTGTCACCTGTCAGCGAGAGCAGCCTGGCTCTGGGGGACCCACAGGGCAGAATCGGACTGTGTTACAGAAACCATAAGGAAACATGCTTATTTTTGGTGGAAGAAATACTTTCATAAGTCAGAGGTGTATAAGGATGGGATGGACAGCCCTCAAGAGGTTGTGAGCTCCCCGTCACTGGAGGCAAGCAAGTAACTGTGTGGCCTCCTGCTAAGGATGAAAAAAATTGTATGTGAACTAGGGAAAGATGGACTAAAAGCAGAAGCCACTGAGCAGGCCTCCGGCCCGGAAGTCCTGTGTTGGTCTCATGGTGTAACGATTTCCTGCCTGGGACTGGAAGTGACCCTCAGTGCAGATGAGAACATCAACGACCTTTGATGGGGCGCCCACTGCAGGCCAGGCCCTAATATGCCCACTACGCAGCTGGCCCTGCCACCACCCTGCAGGGGCTGTGAGTGTCCCCATTCCTCAGACGTGGAGGCAGAAGCTCTGTGTGGTATACACCTGCCCAGGTCACTCTGCCAGGAGGAGCAGAGCCCGTGTCTCAGGCCAGGGAGGAAGGGTGTGGGCCAGGGGACACCACAGAGGGCCCAGTGACACAGACAGGGAATAAAGCAAGGGACAGATTAAATCAGTCTGGCCTGCCCCTGATAACAGCCTCCTCGAGCTCTCCCTGCCTCAGTCCCCCCACAGTGCAGCTGCCAGATCACACCACTCCCCTGCTCATGAACCTTCAGTGGCTCCCCATTGCTCCCGGGAAAGCAAGTCCAAGGCCTTCACAACCTGGCCCCCTGCCTCTGAAGCACCATCTCCCCCCATGTCCACCAGGTGCATTGTCACTGTCCCCAGACACGAGGGCTGCTTTTGAGGCTCTCTTCGAAACCCCCAGGCTCTACGCTGTTCTCGTCTCCCACTCCCCTCATTGGCACCTCCTCCTCAGGCCTTTCTGGTTCCTCAAAACTCCCTGGCTCTGATCTGGCCTTTGGGCCTCTCCTCTCTCCACGCTGGCTCCCCCAGGATCTCCTCCATACCCCTGGTTTCCAGTTCTGTCTACGCGACCAGACTCCTGCCTTTACATCTCCAACCTCTCACCCCCAGCTCCACACTCAGGTCCAGCTGTCTGCTCTCCATCTCCCCGTGGGTCCCCCTCTCTGTCTGTCCTTCTGTCCGTCCCACATTGCTAAAAATCTTCTCCCTCTTAGTGGTCTTTTGTATTATTATTGAAATGTTTGACATAGAACATTGTGTAAATTTTAGACGTGCAACACATTGATTTGATGCGTTTATTGATTATAATATGATTGCCACCATGGTGACAATCTATCATGTCACATAATTATCATTTCTTTTTAGTGGTTGGAATAATTAAGATCTAGTCTCTTAGCAAGTTTGATGATTATAACTTTTAGTGGTTTCTGATCGCCATTCTTTAACCATTATCTTAACTGACTTCTCTGTGCGTTCATGTGAAATCCTTATGGATCGGGGTGGAGAATCAACCATTCATGAGCAGGACAGAATCCAGGGTGGCCTACACGGTGTCAAAAGCCCCCATGGGACCGCTGTGGGCGGGGTGGAGGGGGGCACAGCCCTATGCCCTGGCTCTGTTCCTGACAGGGCTGTGAGCCCACTGCAGGGGCCCCTTCACTCCTCCAGCCATGCATTCAGTCGACATTTACTTGGCACCTAGGATCTAGGGACATGGGAGTGAGCACAACAGACAAAACCCCCCACCCCCAAGGAGGCTGCGTTCTAGTGTGTGTGTGTGTGTATGTGTGTGTAGGGGTGTGGGAGGCTGTGAAGTGGTGGGCCATATGAGTCCCAGGTCATTTTGAGCACGGGGGGACCCCCAGCCTCCCCAGCCTCTTTGGTCAGTGCCCAGCAACACAAATCACAGAACAAAGGAAGGAGTACCCCCACCCCAGAAGCCCGCTGCCCCTCACTGTAACCCCTCCCCAGGTCATCCTTGGGGGGAAGACGGAGAACACACAGCGCCTTACTTTGGCTCCTCCTCTTCTTCCTCCTCCTCCTCTCCATCCTCCTCCTCAGCTTCTCTCTCCTCTTGAATCCGGGGCAGTTCCCTGAGTTGAGGTCAGAAGCAGGAAGTAAGCCCACCTGCAGCTCCACCCCGAGTCCAGCTCCTGTCCCCATTTTCAGGAAGATGTCCTGCAACCCCTGACACCAGAGCTGAACTTCTCAACCAAGACTTGACCCGGGGAACCCCACCTGAGCAGCCTTGGGCTCCCTCCGGCAGCAAGGCCTCTTCACGGCACCAGGGGCCCGGCCCAGCCCCCGCCGTCCTAGTGGCAACCCTGGGTCAGCCCCTGAGCCTCTCTGGGCCTCAGTTTCCCCACCTTTACAACGTAGGCCATGGGCCTGAGGACCTGAGACCTCCCAGCTCGAGAGGCCATCGCCAAGATCACTAGTGGGAACAAAGATCGTGATGTCCCTATGGAGGGCAAGTGGGCAATCATTACCACTGTCACACGTTCCAGTGACCCATGACCCTTTAGCCCCCCTTCTGGAAATTTCTCCTGCACATCTACTCACATGGCTGTGTAAGGACATCCGTGCCAGAGTGCTGCAAAATTGTCTATAACACAATTTCAGAATCATAAATGTCCACCCACAGTGGGCAGATTAGATCAATTCTGGCACATTCACACAATGGAAGATCTCTCTATGCACTGAAGGTGGAAAGAACTCAAGGTATATTGTTGAAAGAATAGAGCAAAGTGCAGCTAGGAGAAGGAGTGGAGGCAGGTTTGAATCCTGTTCTATGGCCTTTGGTACCTTTGGGATTCTCTACCGTGTGCCTGTCATCTCCCCAGTCATTTTTTCCGGGGCTTTCTCTGGCTCCCACCTGGGCATCTCCACAGCCTCGTTCTCCTCTTCATAAGCTGGAGCTGCCTCTGGGCCCTGCGGGCTGATGCCACCGTCCTGATGCTCGTCCTCCTCCCAGTGAGGGTCAACCTCTTCTAGGATGAGATCAGGCTCCTCTTGGCCTCCGGGGAGGATGCAGACTGCAGGGGACACAGGGCGCGGGGGAGAGTGGGCTTGGGCCTCTGAGTCCCAGGGACTGCATGGGGGGCCTTGGCCATCAACCGCCATGAGCCAGCTCTCAGCCAAGCAGCAGAAACAACACCATTATCCGGGGAACCTCAGCAACCAGACCAGTGCTAAAGTGACAGGCTGAAGCGCATGATCATTCACCTTGTCTCCTTCCAGCCGTCTTCCCCCTCTTTTTCCTCTTGAGATAGAGCTTCAATTACGGTTAGCCTCTGTGTCCCCTTGGGCCTCCTTCTTGGAGTTTTGTGCAAAAGCAGAACCACAGCATTGCAGGTGATATGAAAGATCCAGGCTCGGGGTCCGCCTTGGCACGTGCAGGTGCAAGGTGGCCTGGACTGTCCCGGGGGATGCAGAGAGAGCCTGCCCCCGGCCTGTTCTCTAGATGCCGCCCACTGGTGACGGCATACTACACGCTCCTAACCTCAGCTCCCGCTTCCAGGAGTCTTTCCCTCCTGGGCCTAGAGGCTCCAGCTTCTAAGGGGATTGACTTTCTGGTAGAGGTGGTCCAACCTTCAGATAGGAATTGGTCATTTTCACTATTTCTCCATGTACCCAGGTCCCTGACAATGCAAACAGTGTGGGGCTGTGAGCTCGCCAGAGTGGGCATAGGGGAGTCTCATCAGGAACCTAAGCCCCCCGACAAGCAAGAGAAAGGGGGGAAGTGGGGAGATTTGCCTGGATCCCAGGCATTCCCAAAAAGCTCCAGGTCTTGGCTGGCCCTTCAACCAAGCATGAAATTATGAACAGCGACTTTAAATGGGAGTTGGTCTCCCACCTTATTCTGTGACTGGGAATTATTGCTCATGGTGTAGAAATAATAATAATAATAATAATAATACAATGGCAGCTACATTTATTGAGCACTTACTATGTGCCTGGCCCTGTACTTAGTGACATACATGGATTAACTCAATGAGTCCTCACACCAACCTTTTGAGTTGGGCATAATTGTTACTCCCCATTTTATTCTCCCTCTTTTATGTTATTCCCCATTTTACAGACGAGCAAACTGAGACCCAGGTTAACACCTTCCTTTGCAGGGTGCTTCCCCTGTGCCCGGCTCAGGGTTGTCTGTTTTCTGAGAGCTGCATCCTCCTGCTCCCACCTCCAGCTCCCAAGTACAGACATTATCCTGCCTCACAGAGGAAGGGTCAGCCTGCCCTCCAGGAGAGTCCCTGCCGCCCCCCAGCCACACATCTTCAACTAACTAGCCTTTTCCATGCTGGTCCTGGCTCCTCCAGCCCGACAAACACCCCTGGGGTCTGACCACAGAGGGTCTTCCAAGCGTGGCCCTGAATCCAGTGGGAGGCACACCATACACGTCATTCTAGAACATCGTCCGGTCATGATGCAGCATCTCCACCTTGAGCAGCTACTTGGGGTGCAAGTCCCCACCTGACATAGCAGGGAACATCCAGGGGACAGGACAACCTCTGGCCCGTGAGCTCATTAGCCTTCACAGCAACCCTGCATGGGGAGAACAGTACTCTCGCCATTTGATAAACCACAGGGCCAGCTCAGAGAGGCTGAGTGACTTGTCCAAGGCCACCCGGGATATCAGAGGCATTGCAAAGTCTCCTGACTGCCGATTCCCTGCTGTGCTATCCCAGGCGATAAACATGTCCCATGAGTGTCTCCCTGGCCTGGGGGCCTCTCCGTAATGGGCACTGGATGAGCCCAGCATTTGCGTTCTGAAGAGTCAATGCCATCTTTGTTTACAGCCTTGCTTTCTTTTTCAACCCTTTCTTTTTGGGTACTCCTTAGTGAGTAAGCATTTTACAAGATTTTCCTCCTTCCATGGCTGTGCCAGGCCTGTGAGCCGTGCCCTATACCGTCCCCATGTTACAGCCAAAGATTCTGTGGCTCTGGGAAGAGGACGGTGGCCACGGCACTGGGCCGGAGGGGCGGGCACAGGGTTCTCTGCCATGCTGACCCAGGGGCGGGGTTCCAAGACCCTCTCTGTAGGCATCCGATTGATTCATAGCTCTCCTGGCTTTTCCAGGGCCCCACCCTTGGGTCACAGATGGGGCCACCGAAGCACTGTGGGTGCTCAAGCTCCCATGGGGAAACTCCTGCTCCATCCTGGGCTGAAACTTTGCTCCTGAAGTCCCTCATTGGCACACCACCTCCTGGCCGGCATCCTCTCTGCCAGCCTCGGATGTCCCTCAGGGCAACTGAATAGGGTTCTGATTCCAGCAGTGCAGGTCATCAGGTGCATCTGGGGAAGGAGCTCCTGTTCCCAGGATCAGCAAACAGGGAGGCTGGGGGCATGGATCTTAGGCCAAGGCCTGGGTTGCTGGCAAAGCCCAAGCTCTGGCTTATCCTCTCTGGCAGGCCTGGGTCCTAGATGCTTTGGATGTGGCCCAAAGATCAAGAACCTTTGCTTCGATTGTTTCCTCTGCCTCCAACGCTTGCTCAGCCTCAGAGTAGTCTCTGTGAAGTCCTTCCCCTGCTCAACCACCTTCAAAGGCTCCCCAATGCCTACAATCTAGTCCCCTAAAATCAGGGCCCAGCTTTTCTAGTTTTACCTTCTGCGTCAAGAACTCAGGATTCACGGAAGCACCCACCACTCTCCTTCTCCCACCTCCAGGCATTTGCTCACTTTATTCCCTCTCCCGCATTGCCCTCCCCTCGCCGCCAGTTTGGGACCTCAGGGGTCTCCAAGTCAAAGGCCCGTGTGGCCAGGGAGACAGTGTATGTGGGTGAGGGGGAGCGTGCTCCCCGCCGTCAGGAGGCAGCTGCTGATCAGACTGTCCTCACAAGCATGGCGCGGGTCCATCATAGCTGGATAGTCCCCGTTTTTGAGAGAAACCAGACTTTTCCTCTGCAACGCCACCTGATTTTTAGATGTTGGCAACTAATTCTAATATTGAAAATCCTTCCGAGCCCCAAACATAGACATCTGTGGACCCGCTAGGGCCCAGGGCAACCGGCTCGGGATCCCTAGCAAACTCCTCCTCCCTGCTCCCCCTGCACCACCTGCCACATTAACCCGCCCATCTTTCGAACTTGAGTACTCATATTAGCTTCACCCGAAGCAAGGACATCATGCAATCACAGCTGTGATGTGCCAATTTATGCTTTTTAATGTCAGCAAAGGCATGTGTTGCTGTCCACTGGTGGACTCCAACTCTTCGAGGGAGAGAACACAGCCAAGCCCAAGGGGATCCTCTGCTGGGAAAAAGTGTGTCCTGTGGGGGCACCAGCTGGGTGCCCGGCCCCACGCTGAAGGCTGTGCCAGCGACCTCTCAAAGAGAGTCCTCCACAGGCTTTCCCACAGCCTTCTGGTGGGAAGTCCTCCTGCTGTCTAGCCTGAATCCCACCGGCTGCCCTTGGCCATCCTTCTCCTTGCTTCCGTGGAAAGGGGCCGGCCTTTGTCTCGGAGAGGCGGCTCTGGGACTGGCTCCCCTCGCCTTGCCTGAGAGCGTGGGGAGCAGCCGGGGGGTCACTGTTCAAGCAGGGTGCGGGGTCGACAGCCTCCTCTTCCCCTCCCCTGCAGGTCTTCAGGGCACCCTTCTTTCCTTCCATCCATCCATCCGTTTGTCCATCTGTGCTCTCCCAGGACCCCTTCTGTCTTGTTTCAGAGGCCACCCGCTGCCGCCACGCCTGAAACAAGACAGAAAGGTGGGGGGCTGGGTGGGCAGGCGGAGGGAATGAATGAGCAGGTACGTGAGTGAGGGAATGGGGAGGGAGGCTGGGGGCAGAGCTGGCAGCCGGGGAGGGCACTCGGCCCCCAGCCCCTTGGTCTCATCCTGTAGCATGGGTTGAACAGTGTCCCCCCAAAAAACATATATTCAGTCCTACTCCCTGTGACATGTGAAGGTGACCTCGTTTAGAAACAGGGTCTTTGCAGATGTCATTAGTTAAGCATCTCAAGATGAGCTCAGCCTGGATTTAGGGTGGGCCTTACATCCCTGGCTGGGGTCTTTACAAGAGAAAGGAGAGGAGATTGGACAGATAGGAAAAGGCAGAGACCAGAGGCCAGCCGGAAGCCAGTAGGACACGGAGCATTGCCACCAGAAGCCAGGAGAGAGGCCCGGGATGGTTTCTCCCCAGGGCAGCAGGAACCAACCCAGCCAAGGCTTCGAGTTTGGGCCTCTGGGTCCTGAGCGGTGGGAGAACGCGTTTCTGCTGTTTGCAGGCGCCGGGTTTGCGGTCCTTTGCTCCGCAGCCCTGGGGCGCCCACACACAGGGTTCCTGGCCCTGGAGCCCCGCGCCCACCCACGCCCCACACGCTCCGCGCTCGCGGGGAGGCCCCGTCGACAGCTGGCTGAGCACCCGAACTCCTTCCAGGGGAGCAGAGAGGAGGAGAAGAGGGGGCCAGGGCTTCTGTCTTTAGAGCTCTCCGGGGCCCCTGCTCCAGGGAACGTTTTCTCCACAATGGCTACCAGGCCACATGGATGCTCGTCGCCACACTGTGACAACTCATTCTGTGACCTTGGGCACATCCCTGTGTTTCTGCCAGCCCCAACAGCCATATGGGGCTCACTGCTCTACGCAGGGTCTCCATGAGAGCAAGCAAGCCCTGCGCTGAGGCCTGCCCCCCACAACATCTCAGCATCATACAAATCCCATCTCTCCCGCGGCCCCGCGGTCCTGCGGCCAGACCCCAGCTCTGCGGTGGCCGGCCCGGCTGCGCTCCAGGCTGCGGTGGCCATCCTCACCCGCAGGGCGCTTGGAAAGACCACCATCAGCCTAGTGGAGCTAGGGTGGACAGCCGGAGGACACCTAAGGCCCAGGGTCTGAGGGTCCATGTCCAGGGTGGAGTAGGGCCACCGCCCACAGGCCCTGAACTCTGCTCTGCTCACTTCTAGAACGTATCACAGGCCTGGCACATAGCAGGCCCTCTGTGACCTCTGTGAATGAATAAAAGCCCTGCATGCCACATGCTTTTCCTGAGGCCATGAAATGAAGGGAGGGCAGATTTGGGACCCTGGCCTTCCCCTCCCGGCCTCCGTCCGTCCCCTGATACTAGTGCAGGGCTAGGATAAAAGGCAGCACATAGCTCCCCATCCCACCCATAGATGAGGGGAACCCTCCTGGCTCAAGACAGCCAGAGTTTATGGGACCTAGTTCCCCCAGGGAAACCCCATGCCTCTCCCGTCCCCCCTCACCCAGGGACTCTGCTTAGCCCAACCCACTGGCCCAGGGAAGCAGTGGGGGGCTCTCTCTGGGTGCTCCCAGAGGAAGGGGGTCCATCCAACTTGGCCTCAGAACTGTTTTCTCTGCAAGCCTGGTCCCCCACCACATCTCTCCTCAGCCCCTAGGAGGGGCCTCCAGCCACCATCTGGCCCTGGGCCAGGCTGACCTGAGGGGAAGTCTGCAGGGCATGGGCTCTCTCAGCTCCAGGTCAGGAGGCCCTGACTGAATCCCCCAAGCAAGTCCAGGCCTGGCCAGGGACCGGCCCACTGTGCACTCAGACCAAGCAACCCTCCCCGAGATGCCCATGAGGATCCACTAAGTTGTCACTTACTCGTCTGCACGTCACATGTTCCAGGGGAGTCAGGCTCCTGCATGGGGAAAAAGGGGGAAATGACGTGTCTCCTCACCAGCCTCCCTCCTCCCACCACCACCCCAGCACACACAGAAGCAAGAGGGTTTTCCTCATCCCCTACCAGGACACCCACAGAAGGTCCCATTGCTCCCAGCTCCTCTCTGGCCTGTTTCTCCCCTCCTGCCTCAGAGCTTACCCCCTGCTCCAGGCTCTCCCCTCCCTGGATCACCACTGGGGTCCCCCACCCAGCTCCTCTGCCTGGGCTGGGCCCCCTGCCTGAGAGGCCTGCCTACCTACCACTCTCTGTGTGGGGAAAACCTCCTCCCAGCCTTCCTGGGGGGTTGCCTCAAAGCTCAGGCGAGGCCTCTCCCCACCAGCCCCACACCTTCCCCTGCCCCAGCCCCGTCCTCAGGAGCCCCTCCCCTCTGTGAGGGCATGTTCATAGACACAGTGTTCCTGCCACCAGGCCCCTCTTTCCTCGTCTTGGAAAACTCCAAAGCTGCGTTTCCTCTGCCACCCGCAGAGGCCACTTGGATACAGAGCCTGAGGGCTCAGCCTGCAGAGAAGGGGGCCCTGAGGCTTCTTGTCCACCTCCTGTTGCAGCCAGGACTGGGCCCCAGGCCTCCCGCCTCCCAGTTCCAGGTGCTACTGTCAAGATATACAATTGTCTCCAAGGGAGAACGGCCAGGTGCCAGGTCCTTTTTTTTTTTAATAAAGATTTTATTTATTTATTTATTTAGAGAGAGCATGAGCAGGGGGGAGGGAGAGAGAGAATCTGAAGCAGACTACCTGCTGAGCTCAGAGCCCGAAGTGAAGCGGGGCTCAATCCCATGACCCTGAGATCATGACCCCAGCGGAAATCAAGAGTTGGCCGCTAAACCAAATAAGCCACCCAGGCACCCCCAGGTGCCAGGTTCTTGGAGAAGGAGAGAAAGAGGTGACAGAGGTCTTGCTCCCTCACCCACCCTTGTTGGAGTTCTAGGTTCTCAGAAATGCACACAGGGCCCTCTGCTTTCCTGCAAGCCCCACTTCTTTCCAGAACATTCCAGGCCTCTCTTATCTCTGCGCCTTTGCATATGCTGATCCTTTGCCTGAAGGGCTCTTCCTATACCACCCCCCTTCACTTTTACCCACCCCCATCCTACTTCTCCCTCAGGTCTCAGCTTGCAAGCCACTTCCATCGGGAAGCCTTCCTTCATGCTCCTGGGGAGCTCCTCCTCTGCACCCCACATCCTCTCTTCCCTCCATGGAAGCATCTCCCCCACTGACTGTGACCCCCAGTTAACAAGCCCATGCAGCCCTGTGGCCAAGGTGCCTCAGAGAGTGTGTGGAAGAAGTGTGAGCTGAGCAGATGGGCAGGCTATGCTCCCACGACAGGCGCCCTTCTTCCTTCTGTGCTCTACCCCCAGACCACCCATCCTTGTCTGAGCTCCAAGACCAATGCCCCACTCCCCCAGCCCAGCACAGACCTGCTCCCCAGCCTTCCCGTGGAGCACGGGCTGCGGCAAGGCCATCTCCAGCCTGTGCAGGAGCCAAGCCATCAACCTGCATGTGGGAGAGAACAGGCCATGTCTAAGCAGCGGGGCTTGTGGGGAAACTGAGACCAGAGTCAGGTCCCTCCCACGGCAGACAGCAAGCCCACCGGAAGGCAGACCAGAACCCAGGTCTCGAGCCCCAAAGACCATTGCCCTCCTCCCTGGCCTCCCTAGGCCAACCTCTGGGTACCGCTCAGACCCCAGCAGGTAGCTCAGCGGCCCCCCAACCCTGGAGGTGCATGCAGGTCTCTCCCACATTGCCAGGCCAGGAGCATTTGGGGACACGTATCCTGATTTTTAAGGCAGCATCTTTTGGCTCAGCAACTCCAGTTCCTCAGATTTACCCCCACAGATTTACTGCACAAGGCCACCGAGCATAGCAAGAGTAGAAACGAACCTAAATGGCCAGCAAATGGCTAAGGAAAAGCTGGTGCAGCCACATCATGGGGCACTCGGCAGCTGCTGAAAGAATGAAGCAGGCCCATGTGTATAGAACCACCTCTAAGAGACACTTTTTGGTGAAAAAAACAAGCTGCAGAGCAGTATAGAGATCTTGCTGTTGTCTGATACATGTGTTTGGCTAGAAATGGATTCCCCGGCTCGTGTGTGCATACAGAACATGTGGGGGGACAGTGGCTGATGGGGCTGCCCGGGGAAGGGCCACTGGGAATCCCTTTAAATTTCCCCCTGGGGGCATATGTTTAATTTTAAAAAAACTAGCTTGGTGAAGTGTTGGGTGTGGGGCTGGGGCAAAGTACTGATCCTGCTCCCCAGGAAAGGTGTAGCATTTGGGGAGCTCACCTGGCGGGGTCGCCGGGGGGCAGCAGGGAGGAAGCCTGGGAGCTGGGATGGGGTTCTGAGGTCAGCTCCTCCTTGGCTTCCGGGGGGCCAGTCGTGGGGAGGCAGGGGCTCTCCGGGGCCTGCAGCACAGTCTCCGTTTCCAAGGTGGGTTCTGGGGGCTCTACGCAGCGGGGAGAGCAAGAGTCTAAAGAGGACAAGGCAGGGCTCCATGCGACCCCTCATGGGCACTGGGGGCCAGATTCGAGGCACCAACACATGACTGAGTAGGGAGCCCCTTGAGCCCACTCCAACAACCCCTCTCATCAGACAGACATGGAATCGAGACCCAGGAAGCTCAAGGCGCTTATCTAAGACCTCACAAGACCGTCCCACACCACTGGCTTTCCAACCTGGACTGGGGAGGGGTTCCAAGGCCCACCACAACAGCCCACTCCCAGTGAGCCTGGGTGACGGCTAAGGTCCTCCCCCAGGATCCCTCAGGCCCCAGTTGCACCCCCAGCCCAGCCTGTGACCATGCCGGGCAGCCCTTCCCAGTTCCCCTCCCTGTACCTGGGCCCAAGGCAGCATCTGTAGGCTCATCTCTCCAGTCCTAGAGCAGAAACAGGGAGTGGGGTCATGGAACAAAGCGAGCCCTGTGCATTCCCTCCCCTGGCCGGCTGTGCCCAGGGCAGGTGGGGCAGGTGACAGGGGGCTTCATCTGTCCCTATGAACCCCCTTACTTTTTGCAGTCACTCCTCTCCATCAAGAACCCTCCAGGGAGGATAATAGCCCCTCTATGTGTCCCAGGGGGTGGGGATAGCCTGCTGGGTCCTTCCTGGGGCCCCAGAAAGCCTCCCAGGTGGTCATCTGCCTGCTTCCCCTTTCCCTCGACTTACCTTGGAGGTTTCTGGGGGCTGAGGCAGCACTTTCTCCAGATTCTGCTCAAGCCACCTGAGCAGCCAGGGCCCAGACCTGCAAAGGGGCCAGCGGGCAGTGGAACAGCCTGGTCACACTGACCTGAACGTCTGTTGGAGTCCCAGGCTTCAACCAGCCCTTCCTCACCTCTGGGCCCATTGTGCATAGTGGAGACCTTGTATTGGATACTCTGGAAGGGCCTCAGGTAAGGGGGGAAACTTCGGCCAGCCTCAAATTCTGACCCATGGCTGGACCAGGCCAGAACTACAGGCCCAGCCCTGGCCACCTGGGCAGCAGGTGAGGAATAGGGGCCGCCTGGGAACGTGAATGCAGCATGGGGGGCTCCCCATGTCTGGCCCAGACAGGGTCTGGCTCCATGGGTCTGGGAGCAGGGCAGTCACACAGGGCCCGATACTTAGAAGGGCCCAGTTTGGGTTTCATGCTCTTATCACAATCTTAAACTTAAATTTTTAAAAAAGATTTATTTATTTATTTGAGAGAGAGAGAGAGAGCATAAGCATGAGGGGCAGAGGCAGAAGGAGAGAGACTCTCAAGCAAACTCCCCTCTAAGTGTGGAGCCTGACGCAGGGCTCGATCCTACAACCCTGAGATCACGACCTGAGCCAAAACTAAGAGTTGGATGCTCAACCAACTCTGCTACCCAGGCACCCCAAACTCTTATTAATTTTTTTAAAGGAGTCCTGCCTTTTAATTTTGCACTGGGCCCCGCAAATTACATAGCTGGTCCTGGGGCAAATGGGTCCCAGATCCATCTGGCCTCCAGGCAGCCCCTCCGTCTTCAGGGAAGCTCCATGTTCCCAGGGGAACCCATCCCCCCAGGTTTGGCCCAAAAGAAAGCTGGCAAATCCTCTGGGGATTTGCCTCCAGGGGACAAAAAGAAATAGACTGTGAGCTAGAACAATGAGTGAATGAATAGAGTACATTCATTCATTCATCCCTTCCGTGCTGAGTCCTCTCCTTATGGCAGGCACTGTGCTGGGCGCCGGGGGTTCAACAGCGATGAGACAAAAACCTCTGCCCTCAAGAACCCAACAGTCTAACGAATGAATAAGGGAAGGCAGGAATGAATGGGGTGAATAAAGATGAATGCAGAGACTGCAAACTGGAGGCTTCGGGTTTATTTTGGGGGTCCACAGGGTTCAGAAAACTTTTCAATTAGTTGGCAACAGCTAAAAATCAAGGATTACATAAAAACCTAAATTTCTAGCTTCTCTTGAAAAACTGGAGGATTGGCCACTTTGGGCCTGAACTCCTCTGAGGCAGAGGCAGCAGGAGCTGAGCAGGGACCCTCCTGGACAAGGACGTGGGCTCCCCTGTTTGCCATAGCTCTCACCCAGCTCGCTTCCCTCCCTGGCAAGGCAGCTGCCCACCTTGGTCAAGTCTGAGAAGTCCGAAGCTATTGCTTCTGGGATCTCCCAGAAATCAACACAACAAACCATGGGACGCATAGGGCCCTTTGGCTCCATTTTATGGATGAGAACAGGGAGGTCCAGAAGAGATGAGAGGCAAGTCCAATGTCACACACTGAGGTGGTAGTGGAACCTGCTTCTGAACCCAAGACCCTCAGCTCTGGGCACACTGCTCCCCCCAACTCACACACTACACATGGTTCCCAAACCAGTGCTCAGGGAGGAGGACTCACCTGGTGTCCTGGGCCCCAGGGGCCTCCCCGAGTCCACCTGCAGGAGAGAGGAGGGTGGTCAGCAGCAAGAAGCCCGCCTGGACCCCCTCCTCCGGTCAGCCTCACTCAAACCCAGCCTGGAATCTGGGGCCAGTCTGATGAGAGTCCCCCGCCTGTGGGCTCTCTGCAGGGGCAGGGCCCATCCCAAGCTCCCCCAGTCCCATCCCCGAAAAGCGGTCCTGCCTCCTGGCCTTACCTGAGCCCCCAGCGCTGCACTGCCCAGACGTCTGTGCTCCTGCCTGCCAGGACAGATGGGCAGATGGGGACAGAGAGCCCAGATGCAATGGCCTCCCACCCCGCCCACCTCGGCTCCCGGCCCCGGAAGTACCTGAGCAGGGGCCTCCGAGCCGGCAGCAGTGCTCTGGGCTGGCCCGCTGCTGGGGACGGGCTGTGGGATGACCTTCTCCATGCCCTTCTTGAGCCAGCTCAGCACCCACCCGCTGGAACTGCTGAGGGACAGAGATACAGACTCACCCGCAAGGTCCCCAGCCCCTCCCTGGTCCAAGGGGGCCCTCCCCAGTGTCCTAAAGAAATCGGTTTGAATCCCAAACATCTGTCTCCCCACTGTGAGACTTCAGATATGCCACTTTCCCCCCGAGTCTTGTGTTCAACTCTGGAAAATGGGGAACACCGACCCTTGGAGAGGCCAGGTATGTCCAGGGCTATCCTGAGCCCACCCCCATCAGATGCTGGGTATAAAGCAGCCAGGGAAGCATCCTGCTTCCCCCTGAGCCTGGCTCCAGGGGTCCCCTCTTATACTTGGCACACATCCTGTGCTCCAGAAGGGTTGAGGGTTTCCTGTGGGGTGTTTCCTTGTGGCTGAGGCTGGGCAGCCTCAATGGGAGGGTCACAGACTCACTGCCTGAGGCTAGCCCCCCACAGGTAGGCTCACTTGGATAAGCACTAATGGTCTAAAATGAGCCAACTTTGAGATGTCATCTAAAAGTCTGGATTTCTGGCTCAGTTAGGAAAATGGGAAGCTCTGGCCACACTGGATCTGCATTTCTCCCAAGCACTGAGAACACTCTGGCCCCCACTCGCTGTTTCTCTTGGTCCCATTGTCCATTTGGCCCAGGAGATCCCTGTCCATTGCATGAGGCTCCCTTCAGCCAGTTCCCAGGATGTTCTGGGCATCTGGGCAGTTGTCTGTGAATGACTAGCGACCTGAGAGCAAGGCTAGTCCCCACCCCCAAGTGGCTCCCTAGTTTTTGGGGGTAGGGGGGCTGGCCCCTGGAGAGGGGAGGGTGGTGTAGTACCTGTTCACTTCGGGAACCACGGTGACCTGGGCCTGGAGGGATGTAGGCAGAGTAGGGACAGCCTCCCCGATTTCTGGAAAAGAGTCCCTCCTACTTTAGATCTGGAACCTCAGAGTGGCCCATTTCTACCCTGCTAGGAAAGTCAAGGCAGAGGCAGGGGCAAGGGGAGAGCCCCAAGGGAGTCAGAAGGCCAGGGTTCCAGCTCAGCTCAGCTAAAAATTCCCCAGGAGCCCAGGCCTCAACTTCTCTGAGCCTCGGTTTCTTGTCTGTGAAATGGGCCCGCCAGCCTGTGGACGCGGCAAGGTCCTAAGGGGAACACACTCCTCCCCGGCACCCTGCCCGCCAACCTGGGCTTCCGGCACTCACCCTGAGGGTCTGGGTCAGCTGCAGCCAATTCCTTCCCCTCCAACGGCTCTTCAGGTAGCTGGAAGGTTCAAGCAGGACCACGTAAGCCCTCAGTGAGCCCAGCCTGGTTCAGGCAGGGGCAGCGCCTGACCCACCTGTGACGGACCCCCTCACCCCACAGGACCAAGCAGCTCTGTTCTCACAACCGTCCCTGTAAATCCCGGCAGCTCACCTTCGGCTTGGGACGCTCCCTTCCTCACGACCCCAGGGATCCCTCCTCCAGGGTCGGGCCCTCACCGCACCCCCCCACCAAGGTAGCCCCTGGGCCTATCACACCCCCCAGGAAACTGCCCCACTCCAGTGGGCTGAGAACAGGGAGGAAGACTGGAGCAAACTGACGGGGAGAGGGAGGTGAGAGGACCCCCCACACCTAGCCCCCGCCAGAGCTCTCCCTCTCCTCTGGGCCAGACCTTCCATCCCCCTCCAGCAGCTGGGAGGGCATTCAGCGCAGCACCTGCCGCTCCTGCCACGTGCGCACACGTGTGTGTACGTGCACGCTCAGCGTGACGTGTACGAGCTCACGTAAATTTCCCCATACGCACAGACGCGTGCACGCACGCGCACACATGTGCAGTAACCCGGAGATGGTGTGTACACACATAAACAGACAGAAACCAGTGTATGCCCACCCGTGCACGTGTACGTGCAAGACACAAAACACACGTGCGTGTACACTTGCTTGTGCATGCACACCCCACCACACGTGCGTGTGCACACGGGCACATGCAGACGTATTCATACGGACATGTGCACACGTGCAGACGTACACATGCAGATACCTGCAAGTATCAGACACACACAAACGTGTGCATATGCACACACACACTTGCATATACATACAGATGCCTGCGTGTACACACACGCGCATATATATGCTCCCTCACATAGACATACGCACACGTACGCACACACTGACACACACGTATTCACGAGCACATCCTTTCATGTGTGCATCAACACACGAGCACACACATAGACGAACATACATATGCATGTACGCCTGCACACGCAGTTCTGCATGCGAACATGCACCGATGAGCAGACACGCACGGATGTCCAAAATATGTACATACACAAACATGCAGACACATACAAGTGTGTCCATACACACTTACATGCACAGATACACAAACATGTGCACGCACAAACACATGAATACATTCACAGACTCAGAAACATTTGCATACACACACACAGCATGCCCCACATGTACATGGAACTACAGAGACACCAATGCATGTGTGCACACGCATGTACATGTATGTGTATGTGCATGCACACACATGCACGCAAACCGTGTGTGTTCGCATGCACACAGTTTGCTACTGCGTATGCACATGCAGACATACCACTAAGGACCCAGGGCATGCACATACGTGCACACATGTGTGTGCATGCGAACACTATGCACACAAACCCCATACTGGGGTAGTCACTGTTTCCTGAACATGCCCTCGCTGCCCAGGACTCGCCCTTCCTCTGCCAGGCACGCCCCACTGCTTCATCTCCAGTAACACCGGGCCCAGCCCACCGTGTCTGGGAGGCACTCCCCCACCAGCTTCCACTCTCCAAACTTAAGATGATTCTCTCCCTCCTCTGAGCTCCCATAGTTCTGTCTGATACACTTGTTTGGCCCTCCCGGGAGGGTAGAGCTGAGCCCAGTGTTGGAGGTCCCTGCATTTCCTCATCACCCCTGTCTGCTGGTAGAATGACCTGGCCGGTACTTGTCTGCTAAGCCCTGGGGGCGATGCCTTATTCATCATCATGCTCCCAGCACAGCACCCAGGCCTGGCATCAATTAGAACCTAAATCAAATCTGTGTAATTGAGCTTCTGGATTAGTTGTCATCAGGCTCCTGAATGGAAGGGATGCAGAACTGGCAAGTTTGGATGAGCTGGAGTCCCCCCCGTGGAAAGTCCCTGGGGGGCAGCTGACCCACAGCGAGAATCCCCTGAGCCGCTAGGCCCGCATGCCCTCCCTCAGCCTCAGTCTCTTACCAGGGATTCGTCGCCTCGCTCAGCCTCCTTGGGGGCGGTTTCAGTCTCCGGCTCTGGTTCTGGTACCACCTCTGGCTCTGGTTCTGCCCCCTCCTCCTCCTCCTCCATCTTGGTCTTCTGAGGGGTCCCTGGGGGCTGAGGCAGCACCCTCTGGACCCAGCTCAACATCCTGACACCTGCAGGAGACAGAGTCCTTAGGCCTCCCCAGAGCACCCACATTTGATCCCACCACTGGGGGGCCACTTTTGTGGGTCACACATTTCCCTTTTCTCTCATTCATCTTTCAAAACATTTCTACAAATTATACCTCCAGGAATTCACTTGATAGAAATACTCAGGCAAAAAAGAAAAGAAAGGAAAGGAAAGGAAAGAAAAGAAAAGGAAAGAAAAGAAAAGAAAAGAAAAAAGAAAAGAAAAGAGGGGCGCCTGGGTGGCTCAGTCGGTTAAGCGACTGCCTTCGGCTCAGGTCATGATCCTGGAGTCCCGGGATC